ACACCATGCTCCTCCTCCAAGGGATTCGGGTATATAATACAGGACTTGAAATGTGTACTCGAACGTACGTGAAGTAAATGTCTCACAGAACCGTAGTATAAAAACAGATTTACGTGTTGAAATGTTCGTTTGTTATTGTACATGAAAGTGATTTCTTGAAAATCGTGTTTCTAGTATGTAAAAGTTAGCAATATCCTCATAAAACTATACCTATTACAGTTTTCTAAAAGTGTGCCTCGTTTGTTTAGAATATCTAGAAAAGGAATCACTTGTTATGAAAGCATAGATTTTTGTAGAGTCTAAGATAGACACATATACATTAATTCTAGGAAAATGTTTAGTTTATACATGCCTTACAACAATTTATAGTTTCAAAGATAGAATGCTTTTGTAATATATTTTGTATTCGGGAGTTCCCTATAAAGTTTATAAATCACATATGATTCTACTTAATAAAAAGTGAATAATAATCTTTATATATATAACACCCGATAGTAGTTGTGTGTTTTACTTGTATTCCCCCCCTTAGAAAGCATATGAAAGCGTTTAGAATATTTAAAAGGGTTAATTAAGGGGTATGAACTCACTTGAAAGTTTGAAGATAGCGAGATGGAAAACCGGGCAGAGTTTTGTCTCGGGATACGGATTTTTCTCGGGAATCTCGGGAGTAAAATCGACCTTCGGGACTTGCACAAAATGCTTCAGGGCTTCGGGGTAGTGCGGGCACGGAAAACGAGGTAAAACGCAAGAAAAGTGTGAGAGAATGAGCAAATTTTTCGGGAACCCTCGCATCCTATTTATAGGACGCTGGAACCGCCTCGGTACGCGAGGCATACGCTCGTACGCGGGGTGTACGCATACGTCACGTATGACTGAGTCCTCGACTGCCTCGGACTTCGGATGGGACAGGCTAGCTTCGCATAGACCGGGATGTGGATGATCCGAGGCCTTAGCCTTGAGTACGCGGGGCGTACGAGGGTACGCGGCGCGTACTTCGGCCCTATCTGCTGACTCCTTCGGATAATACCAAGAATTTATAATTAAATAAACATATAATTTATTTAATAAACTTCAAAAATTCATATCTTCTTCATACGAACTCCGTTTTCGATGTTCTTTATATCCCCGCGAAGGGGAGACTACGCTCTACAACTTTCGTTTAGACTCCGTTGGAAATTTCCGAATTTATTTTTATTATTTATTTATTAAAATAACGTGATTAAGGAATTTCTTTAAAAATTCTTAACTTCTTTATCTGACGTCGGTTTTTGCCAGACTTTTTACCGCTGAATTACCATTGTCGAGACCTTCGATTCTCGTTTAGGTCATTCCAGCCAAAAGTCGCTCGATCTCCGATTCGAGTTTTTAGTTGTCTGTTGCTAAGCCGAAATTGGAAAAATCTTAATTTCAATATACGAAGCCGGGTTTGGGCATTCTTTTTACGTACGATCCCGGTTTAATGATATAAAACATAGTAGGTAGTTAAGTAGAAACTTTTTGGACATTTTATTATCAACGTTAATTTTTATTAACTCAAAAATGGTTACAATACTTGACCTATTAGGCCATTACAAAGAGTTGAAATATCGGGTTGTCACACTCTCTAGAACCTCTCTCTAGCTCCGAAACCCCCCGAAAAGCCTAGGGAACCTCCCTAGCACGAGGCAGAAGCCTTGGAGTCCTGGACGGCTCCTAGAAGAAGAGCTTTTCAGCTCGGGAATGCTGCTCCAAGCAAAGCCCGGTTTTCTATAAAATCAGTTGTAAGTGAGCAACGCCTACGCTATTTTTAATATAGTTTTTATTTAATTATAGTAACGTTATTAGGAACTTAGAATAAGTATTTGGACTATTATTATGGGTTATATAAGTATTGTTTAACGCTTATATAATAGTAATAATAGCTATATTATTAATTAGTTTCAACAAATAATAGACTAAACTCTAGTGGTAATAATAGTAGGATTCGTCGAAGGAAATTATTTTTAAGAAGCAAAGTGTTGTCTGAGTTCGGAATCACCACCTTTTCAAGTGAGTGCATAGTCCCTTTCATGAACATGATTTTAATACAAGTATCGATTGAAGTATTAAATATATGTTTATGTGCGAATTATTTGATGTTTCCTAAGATACTTGTTAAAGAATATACCTGATTATATATGCTAATTTAGGATAAAGAATAAACCTAAATTAATTATGAGGAATATTGGGTAGTGTTTTCTTACGAGAACGAGTGAATTATACTAAGAGAATAAAACCTTAGTATATGTCATTGATCCGGGATCATGGATTAGACATAGTTATTGTCCTTAGTCCGAAAGTATGGATTAGGCATAATCATTCATCATTAATCCGAGAGTATGGATTAGTCATTCGTCCCTAGTTCGAGAGTATGGATTAGGTAAAGTCATTCATTTCTTATCCAAGAGTATGGATTAGGTAAAATGGCTAATCTTAGGTCCGAGAGTATGGATAGTCTCATTGTGAGGATCGACGAGGTAGTATAAGAGTTGTTTATATATATGGTGAAATTGTATATTTTGTGAGTTTTAAACTATATATATGGTATAACATTGTGGGATTGAAATCCCTATGTACTCACCAGGTTTCCCAACCTGACCCACTCAGTTTATTTATATCACAGGTGTTGATATGAAGTCACATTACACTGAGAGATTAAGGAGATATAAATCACTAGTGATAATGAATGTAAGTTCTGTTTATGCTTATGTTTTTGCATTGACGATGACATTCCAAATGTTTTAAAATGAATAAAAATACTTTTCTCCGGAAGTGCTTCGATAACATATTTATCATGTTTTACTGGGAACAAATTCCGCAACGTTTTTATTAAAAGACGTACTCTGATTTTTATAAAGCATAAACAAAATCGGTCTTTTCTAACCATGAAAATGGGGATGTCACACAATTACCAACCATTACTCTGTCTAGAAGGAGAACGGTTAGATTCAAATTAGAATGTTGCAAATTCAAATACCCATCTAAATTAAATGAAATCATTGCCAACATCAAATCTTCTAATTCCATTCAATTGGGAACAAATTAGTACCTTTTTGGAAAAGATAAAGTGAATACCTATTCAATGAAGCCGCCAAACTAGCGACCTATGGAGATTGTGTTGAGAAAAACATAGGGGATTATCCAACTTCTTCTAAAGACCTTTGGATCGAGGATAATCAGATGGGAAACGATGAAAAAGATTGGGTGTCTGAAAACCCTAAAAGTGGAGAACATACCCTAGATAGAAGCAAGTGATCGATGGTCGATGATTATGAATGGATTATCCATCTTCTTCCATGTTGATTACCCTGGTTACCAAAGTGATTAATTTCTCGATGCAGTTACCCTAAATCAAACCTCCATTCTCTTATTCCTGATGATTTATGTGTCACCTTTATATGCAATTTACCTCCATAAATAGATTAGATGAGAGAGAAGGGAGGGAGATGAGGATATTGGTGGGAATCAGTGTTTTTTACCTATTGAAATTTGGTGGGTATGAATGCTTGTACCTCTGGTGGAATATGATGGGTGGAATTTGATTTTCGATGAGAGATGAGTGGAAGAAACGGTTTTAATGGTGGCGGTGGTGTTATTTCTCCATTTAAGATATATATATATATATATATATATATATATATATATATATATATATATAGAGAGAGAGAGAGAGAGAGAGAGAGAGGGGGGGTGGGTCCTCATTTTTTTTTAATTATTAATATAATTATTAAGACAAATAAATAACAATTAGATTTAAAAAGAAAAGTAAAAGAAAAATAAAAAATAAATACCCCAAGGGTATTACAATCATTTCAGTTTACAGAGGAATCAAATTTACAATAAAACTAGTTCAAAAAGAGTGAATCCAAAAAAGTTGATGTTTGAACAAAACGATCTATACCACATGGATAATTTTTGCAATTTTATCTAAAAATTATTATAAGATTTTGATTTTTTGATTTTTGGTGATTTTTTTTTCATAATTAAATTTACTCAAGATTGCAACAAAATGTTACGTTATGTATATAGTTAACTGCTGATTTTCTTTAATAATAACAAATAAAAATATATTTTATAAAATTACCAACAACATTAGTATTTATTATCCTAAATTCGGAGGCCCCTTAAAATCGAAGGCCCCATACAACCGCACCACTTGCACAACCCGGGCAACAATGATACATGCGTCCTAAGTATCTATGAATAGTGTCAAATATGGAGTTTACTACCATTCTAGAATTATTAATTTCAAACTTTCAACCGCGTTGTCATAACGCATTACATATAATCTCTAACATCGATTCACCTATTAATGTAATTTGCACATTAAACGACATATTTTTCGATTAACTACATTCTATTTTTCTTTCAAATTTTTTTTATGACTGCTCATTCTTGTTAATTACAGTTTACGTCAATAAAATAAATTTTAATGAAATTTAACTAAATGTAATTAGTTATATATTTGTTTATTAGAATGATAATACTAAGCGTGAATAGACGAAAAGTTATTATTATCATGCAACAAACAATTAGTACTAATTTTAGTATCTTCTTCTTTAATAAATGAAAGATTTTTTTTTTTACCACTTGTCACACTCTAATTCATTTTGTCACATATCATTTTGTGTTATTTTAAATTAATTTTTATTCCATATGTAATTTTGTGGTTTTTCTATTTTATTAAATTTCATATGGTATTTACATTTAATAATAAATGTATATCAATTTCATTAATAGACTTTCCTTATAATTTCAAAATTTTAAAATAAAATCTCATTAATTTGCTTTGATTATTTTATCTAAATGATTTGTTTAAATTTAAAAAAAAAAAAAAACACTTTAATTTTAGTAATTCAATATTTTTCTTATTTTTCTTATAAATTCAAAATTTTCAAATATTTATACATATTTAATTGTTTTAAATACACCCATGTAATACATGGGGTTCACACCTAGTTAGTATTAAACGAGTATATATTTTTCCATTATGCAGTAGAAACAACTCTTATAAGCAGTTTAATAACAAAACCGTTATTTGTTGTATCATTGTAACATATTTTTATACTAGTTTGTTGTTAGGAGTCCCTCTAGTCGAATCTGTCTAGACATAAAAAGAACGATAAAGAACATTGGGTTTCAAGGTTTAAGTTTCTCTTAATTCTAAATCTTTAATCATATTCTCTCAAGGCAAAACAAATAAGAACATATTGAATATGAATATTATATATTGCCACAATCATCATATCTTAATTCAATACATCCTTCCTCCTTGACTCTTTGAGCTTTCCTCTTTTGCGAATAGCAAGACAGACACCCAACCACCAAGCTTCAATAACACACTTTGGTAGCAAACTTGCGAGAGCCCACAAAATCGAGTGTGGCCAATAAGGTGTGCATTGTGGTTCGTAACCAATACAACGTATGGCTGCTCGAGCATAACTGTCTGTTGATGCAACAAAGAAGGATGACCTTCTAAGTGCAGACATCTTCGTGGCCACATATAAAGGCACCTATTTAACATTTTATGTACAAGAAAACTAATAATGTTACTATGTCAATAGGTCATCAAGAACCAATTGGGTTTGTGAATTGTCCAACGAAATGTAAATCGGTTGTGGTCGTCAAGCATTGTGTATGCTAAAACAAAATAGAATTTTGTTTAGATTTAAAAGATTAGCATACCTGACATTGCACATCGATGCCACTTTTCTTGTATTCGGCATATAGACATCTTGAAAATTGATCGATGTATCTGAAATATAAAACAAAACCAATAAATCATCTCAATTAAAGATGAATAACACATGCACTCATTGTGGCCCTAATTAGTCCTTTTATGGTCGGATTATTGTGTTCACGAATTAGGCATGATCTCATTAAAGCTCATCTGGGTTGGGATTGGTTTCGCCTTCAAAGAAATTATATGATGTAACATTCTTTCAACAAGTTTTGAATAATGTTTAATAGCTGTTAGGATTAATATTTTTATATAGCATCGGTTGTATGTTATTTAACATTTTGGTTTAATATATAGTGACTATTCATTCAATTTATTTAGATGATGTTTTAATATCATGCAACACATGTTACATTTAGTTGATAACTATTAACAAGTTTAAAGTATTCAGGAACACATTGTTTAGTTTTTTGTTGTTTTTGTTGGTAAAATTATACAAAAAATCCAAAAATAAAATAATAAAAAGTTTAGCAAATGCGTTCAACCGGACTTGATCTCAAGCTTGGCCCAATTTGTATCGGGCTTAGTCCTAACCGGTTCCAAGGGCTTTCTTTTAATAGGATTTGGGTTGAACCTATATCATTTTTAAACAGATTAGTAGATAAAAACTAGTATCATAACGGGATATTCATTTCTATTTCAAATTTAGATCCAAGATTCATACGTTTAACTTCTTTCAGAAAACATGTAAACAAATTATACAATGTGCAAAACATGTTTTTATAGGTAGATACATAAGAGGGAAGGAGTAGAATAATAATATGGGTATGGACAAATATCATTTTTTTTTGGAATTTTTTTAGTAAAGAAAACAAAGGGTTAAATTTTTTTTTATAATACTACTTTTACTCTATGAAATATATATATATATATATATATATATATATATATATATATATATATATATATATATATATATATATATATATATATATATATATATATATATACACTCTAATAGATGAAGGTTTTTTTTTGCCACTTGTCACATTCTCATTTATTTTGCTACATATCATTTTGTGGTTATTTTGAATTAATTTTTATTCCATATGTAATTTTGTAGTTTTCCTATTTTATTAAAATCCATATGTTATTTTAAATTAATAATAAATGCATATCATTTTCATTAATGGACTTTCCTTATAATTTCAAAATTACTAAAATAAAATCTCATTAATTTACTTTGGTTATTTATCTAAATTATTTGTTTAAATTTAAAAGAGAAAAAAAAACACTTTAATTTTAATATTTTAATATTTTTCTTATAAATTTAAATTTCTCAAATGTTTATATATATTTAATTATTTTAAATATACCCATGTAATACATGAGGCTGACACCTAGTATTATATATAGACAATGATAAAGAATAAAAACGCACGGGCTCCAGTATAAGCAATTACATAAAACAAGATAATGCAATCGAAATTTAAGATATGTTTTGCTAATTAGCTAAAAGACTTGATGTAAACTAGCTCCAAATTGATATAAAAAATGATGTGTGGTGAAACTAGCTCATAAGCTAGGAGGAATATGTAAAATAATATAAAAATGCATGTAAAAGATTGAGTGATATAAACCGAAAGTATATATATATATATATATATATATATATATATATATATATATATATATATATATATATATAAGTTACGATCGAATTGTATAAGAAAAAAATCGAATTATTTTTAAAGATTTTCTTGATTTTGATTTCTGATATAAACAACAACCAAATAATCAATTAACAATGAAATTTTAAAATAATAAAAAAACCTAGTGTGAACTCATGGAATAATAATAAAATGAAAAATAAATTCACTAAGTATTACCAAACATTCGATAGCTTTGCCTTTAATGCTTATGAAATAAATATTAACAAGCAATAATTTAAATTAAAAGAAAGGAAACCCAACAATGAATGCAATTAAACCTACAACTAAATTATAAATATTCAATTCACGAATTACAATAGTGATCTTTGTCGATTTTTTGATGCTCATAGAATATTGGAATCGGAAATAACCACATAGTTTAATCAATTTTCATAAAGTTATCAAAATAGAATATATTTAACGGCAGTTGCAAATTGGATCGAAGATTATGAAAAACTGAAGATCGAATGTACATGTGTTGTGAAAGGATTGATTTGTGATTCATATTTTTATTTTTTTTATTGTAAATTGTATTTATCTATACATATTGGATAATACATTAAAAAATGTTGTACTATTAAAATTTATGGACTTCAAAAATCTCTTTTATACACTTTTTTATTGCCAAAAATATTAAAATGGTTCATTTGTATTTTTTTTTTTAAATAAGTTACAATTTTTAGTTTTGTATAACTTGTTATACAAAAATAAATAAAAAAAGATGGGTCAAATGACCCACCATACTTAAACATAAACTCGCCACTATCCAACCATCTAAAAATTTATTTATTGAATGTTTAGTTTAATGATAATACTTGGATCAAAGCAGATGCATGTATTGGATTAATGATTTAATGGTACGCAATATTAACTAATTAATATTTAATATATAAAAATTGTTTTAATGTAAATTACCATAACAGGTGAAAATTAGTTATGCAAGTGCATATCTTGTGTCACAACACACGTCTGCCCCTTCCCCTATAACTGGTTTGAGCACCAACATGGTGACATAAATCATAATTAATGTTCCATGTGCAAGAAAGTTAGAGTTAGATGTCACATATAATATGAGTTCTCATTTTCGTACGACTAAAATACTAGATACTCTACAATCTTTATTTAAAAAATGTAGCTAATTAAGTTGGAGAAGATCTTACGCTTTAGAAGCGGCATAAAGTGTATAAAGAGGATCAGAAGGCATAACAACTGCAACACCCGACCCAAGATTAACAATAGCTCCTTTTTTTCTTTTAATCATTCCCGACAACACGACACGCGTAACTTTTGTGGTACCTTCAACATTAACCTTAATCACATCACACAATAATTTATCATCGACTTCATGAAAAAATCTAGCATATGGATAAGAAACCCCAACATTATTGATCAAAACTCCAACATCTAAACCATCAATTGTCTCCTTAATCTTCTCAATTCCATGAGTTAAATCACCACAAAAATCAACCACGACAATCTTGATTTGGGTTTGTTTGAATTTAGCTCGAATTGAACATGAAACATCATTTAGTTTATCAATGTTTCGACCCACAAGAACCAAATTTAGTCCTGTGCTAGCTAGTTGGAAACCAAATGCTTTACCAATACCATCTGTAGGACCCGTAACCAATGCCCATGACCCGTATTTTTTTAGGTCTTTTGCGGGTCTGAGGAAATGAATGAACACCCAATTCAAAAGTTTGAAGGATGTTATTGTAAGAGAAAGAAAAGCAACGGTGAGTAGAAGAAGGAGCCATAAAGGTTGAGTTTCTAGGTTTTGCATCATAGAGAACTCCATGAAAAAGATGGATTCGACTTAAGAAACAGATTATGTCGTTTGGGTGGATTAAATAGCAAGAAACAAAGTTGAGTTCGTCGTCTACATTGGTACATAGTACAGTTGGTGGAGTTTACGATAGGTATCTTTATATTCATGCATGGTCATGTCTTGTAAGGTAAATTGCATGTGAGGCTTTTTAATTAAAGCAAAAGAGTTGCTACATTTCATAGTAGTTGTAACGTATCGTTCTCTTTTTATATAAATGATGATTGCATATTTGCATCATAGTAAAAATATTGGTGCTTCATAATACTCGTTTTCATAAAAAGCTTCGGTATAAATTAAATAAATAATGGAATTCCCAAATACCTAATAACAAATTCCAAAAGTTGAAAGACAAAAAATTACTATATCATGTCAGCTATCTACATATGTAAGCTACCTATCGATATAAAGGTAAATATTGTATTAATTATCATACGTTTTTTAAGTTGACACTACAAGAATAGAGTGCTATGCAGCGACTTCTATCCAGACGACACATGTTGTCGGCAAAAGTCGACCTATACAGACGACATGTCGTCCGTACAAGGTTTTCAAACGTGGACTATCTGCCTTTGACCAGAAGAGCTATACAGACGACAAGTCGTCTGTATAAACTCGGCGGGAAACGTGGAATTGTTGGCGGTATATCGAAAATCTTTACGGACGAAATGTCGTCTGGAAAAAGGATCTAAAAAAATAATTTCGATTTATTTTAATTCCTTGTAGCAAGAAGTCAAAACGCCACCGTTTTTGTCATCCTATGTCGACGACATGTCGTCGGTATAGGGTGATTTAAAATTAATTTCGATTTATTTATTATCCTTGTTACAGAAACTGGAAAACGATGTCGTTTCTTATGCTATAGAGACGACATGTCGTCTGGAAAGGTGGGACCAATCCGCTTGAATTTTTTTTATTTTCTTTTATTTATTGATCACGTGAAGCAAAACGACGACGTATTTGGGTACCTATACAGACGACATGTTGTCTGTATAGTACTTCCCTGTAACAAAAACCCCTTTCAACTTTCTGTTTGCAGTCGAGACCAACTCCATTTTTCTCTCAAGCTCGTCGGTGATCGCAGGGCATTTCCAAGACTCGAGTTCATCGGCCACCATAAAGTTAAGTGTTTTGTTCCTTCATTGCTTGTTAATTTGTAATAGCTTGGTGCTTGATTTGTAATAATTTGGAGCCCTAAATCACAACCCCATTTCTCTATTGGCTAGCAAAAAGGTTCAACTGCTCCATAGAAAAGGATTTCCAATGATTGGCCAATCTCTAATACCGATTTTGAGGTTAGTATATTGAGTTTTTTTCCTGATTAGGCTACCACAGTGATGATTTTCTTTTCAATAAACCATGATATGTATATGCAATTGTTTATGCACCATAATGCTGCATAAATCATAAATATAAGGCCACATTTTGCTTTTTTGCTTTCTAAGTGCATACAATGTTATATATTGGCCACATTTTGCTTTCTATGTGCATACAATGTTATATATTTTACTTATCTACAAGTAAAAGTGATGATAGAAGGCTATAAGATCTTTACAATTTGAGTTTATGTGCAACCTTATAGAACTAGCAAACAAACTTCATGTATACATTATGTTAAGTTAGAAACATTACCTTAAAAAGTATTATCTTGAGTTATTTGATGTAATTAGATGCTATTGTTTGTATTGTAAAGCGTTTAATATGGTTTGTGTGACATCCCCAATTTCACGGTTAGAAAAAGACCGATTTGTTTATGCTTTGTTTTTAAAAATCAGAGTAATCATTCAAATAAAACGGTTACAAAATTTATTCCAAAATAAGATATGATAAGAATTTATCAAAGCATTTCTTAAAGAAATGTATTTTCATTATATAACAAAATCTCGTGATGTCATGTTCCGACACATAAGCATAAACATAACATACATTTATTTACACTAGTGATTTACATCTCCTTTAATCTCTCAGTGAAATATGTCTTCGTATTGATACCTGTGATACAAAGAAAACTCTTATCCTACCCCATCGATCCCCACAACGACACGATCTAACTCTCGTATCTAAAATTTTCCTCTTTACCTGATCCTTACTCACGGATCTAAAACTAATCTCTTCACCTTATCCATATTCCAGGATCTAAAACTAACCTCTTGGTCTGATCCATACTCCCAGATCTAAAACTGTGCTCAATCCATACTCCCGGACTAGGGACAATTACTATACCTAAATCCAGATCTGATCCATACTCCTGGATCTAATAGCAGCTTATCTTGTTTATTGACAGTATCATTCTCGAGATCCCTCTCGCAATACATGTCAATGGGTTTTTAGAGTACACTGGTGAACACATCATTCACAAACACTTACAAGTTGCGAGCCTACTAGTGTTCCAATGACTGTCTAGAATAGTCTGTGGTTATCATCTCTACTCTGCTGAATGACAGGGGCCATCATTTGGGTAAAGGTTTCACTCATTTTCCACTTGTCACCCTCATCTCAAGATCTATATCACCTCTTATCTCATTATCCAACACATCCTTTTATCACACACCAACTATCTCATCTACCCATGTTCTACCCAACATATTTGTAGATATAAAATACATATACAATTTAACTCATTTAAAAACTATATAAAACATCCATTCCACACTCATCTCAAATAAACAACAATATATAAACACATAGCACATATTTCATAACAAATATTTCATATTTATGTGATAGAAGAAAGTGACTACACATTCACACAAAACATATACTTAATACATTCAAACAATACTTGCATTAATTTATTGTTATGAAAGGGACTATACACTTACTTGATTAGAAGATGATCATGCAGCACTACGACGTGTACAAGTAGTATTCTTTGGTGAAACTGTGATCTCTTCACACACTGAGCCTTTCGCAGGCAGAGCTTCGGCTCGGAAACTCATTTATTCTCGGGATCTTCGAAACTTTGGGATTTGCTTCGTGTATCGGGATGATACGGAGGCTTCGGGGGTTAAAATAGGGCTTAGAGAGAGTATCGGAAGTGAGAGAGTGATAAAGTAGCAACCTAAATCGGCTGCCCCTCAATTTATATTTATAGGGCTGATTTTATGGATTCACATCGTGAATCTCAAATACTCACGTCATGAGTTCAGTCGTCACTGCATATGTCATCACAAGTTGCATCTATCAGGCTCCAAAAGTCATAAATACTGATTTCACGTTGTAAACATAGTATTCACGTCGTGAACTCAGATAGTTTTGGAGTTTCGCACCCCGAACTTCAGAAATTCATAACTTTCGCATACGAACTCTGTTTTCGACGTTCTTTATATCCACGCATAGGTAAAAACAAGATCTACAACTTTCATTTACACTTGGTCGGCTAAATTTGATTTTATTAATATATTAATAATATATTATTTTTTGTAGGCCGGGATAGGAAAATTTCGTTAGAAATTCATAACTCCTACATCCGACGTCTGTTTTTGACTGTCTTCTCACTGTTGCACTACTAATAACAAGATCTTCGATTCTCGTTTAGATTTTTTCAACCAAAAATCATTCGATCTCAAATTCGGGTTTCGAGCTACATATTGCTAAGCTGAAACATAGAAAAATCATAACTTCCTCATACGAAGTCAGATTTGGACGTTCTTTTTATGCACGCTCTCGATTTAACGAACTCTACAACTTTCATTTAGATCACTAAGGATAAAAATCACTTTATCATAAATTCATTATTTATGTCGCGCTGTGTCGTGTCGGTTTTATCGCGAAACTTCGACAGGTCATAACTTCTTCGTTATAACTTGGATTTCAACGTTCTTTATATGTACGAATTCCTTGTAACATATACTACAACTTAGTTAAGATTATTTATTCTAAATAATCTTTTATTAAAAAGTTATTTTTGACGCTTAACGTCTCTAAATTGACTAGCCTGGATCTACGGGCGTTACAGTTTCAAAGTGTTTAATTTTGTTAGTGACTTAATGTTGGTCATTATGGCTTTAGCTTAATTAGGTTATTAAAAGCAACATACTTTTAGTAATTTTAAAATAATTATGAAGTAAAGGTGAATTAATTAAAATCAAATTAAATTAGATTTAAAATCAAATTAATATTAATATTAAAATTAAATTAAATTAAGTATAAAATCAAATTAATACGATTTTCTTATTAAAACACGTTGAATCGTTGAATTTTAGTTTAAGTTTCTTCTTCATAACCATTGTGAATACTCTATCGAATCAATCTGATTTTTACTTCTCGAGTATATATTTTTTTATACACTTGTGAATACTCTCTCCATTCTCGGGTATATATATTTATTTATCTAGCACAAATACAATCTAATTTTCGATAACTACATATATAATATAAACTTAAAAAGTGAAACATCGATGACGATCGATAAGATTTGGATTAGAGCGAACCGAATGTATTCAAAATACTTGGAAGGTTTTAAAAACTTTATGAAGATTGTTGAGAAACATGTCAACTCTAAAGGCAAAGTGTGTTGCTTGTGTAAAACGTGTGTGAATTCGTATCGACATGTTTTGCCTACGGTTTATGCCCACTTACATGACATTGGGTTTCTAGAAACATATACTACATGGATTTGTCACAATGAGAAACATGTCGGTTCTTCGGATTTAAGCTACAATTCGACTCCAAGAACAAACACACCCACAAGTAATGAGATGTTTGATGTAAATGATGATGTTATGGCGGAACAAAATACAAATGAAGAAAATATAGACGTGGAGGGACGAGGTATAGACCTGGAATTTGATGATTTGTTTTAGGAGCTCAATACCAAGTGTTTAATAACACTTTCACGTCTTTCATTCCAAACTTCCAACCACAACCAATGCCACAATTCCAGTTTAATCCCAATATGGTTCCACAAAATAACCCCGAAACATCAAATGAACTCGCGGAGGATGATGATGTGGATGATGGTGGTGACCAGGAAGAGGAGGAGAACTAGAATGGTAATGACAATAATGTTTGTTAAAAACTTGTTTTTTTGTTATTTTGTTTCATGATGTTGATGATGGTGGTGATGATGATGATGAGGAGGAGGAGGA